GGAGCCCATCTTCATTCTCGCCGTTTATCGGCACACCTTCATTCTCGCCGCCGGACTGCCATCCGCCTATCACCAGCGCCTACTCAGGTATTTCATAGGTATCCTTTACCAGTGGTTCAGTTCTAGTTGTGATTTATGCAATCTTTATGTAATTAGGTTTTGGTAATTTTCAGTTTTAGTGAAATTTATTGGCATTTTGATCTGAGTAATGAAGTAAGAGTTGCAGAAATATGGTGTTGGTTGCTATAATGCTACTATCGTTTGAGATGGTTAAGAGATAAGCATGTAGACATCGTGTTCGACAAAATTTCATAGAGAAAAACTGAGTTCAAATGTATCATTTTAGGCACCGACTAGATGCTCTAGGTGCTGATCCGGCTTCTTGATACTTCTAGAACACCGGTTTTGAGGTCATCACCTATTATCACAATCTCAAGATTAAGCATTATCCTTTGTGTCGATAGATATGTTTCTCGAATTTCACTGATTGTAGCTTTTCGATTGAAATATTGTTTGCGGATTCCATTGATTTTATTTGTGTCGAATGTTTCGCAACCCTAATGTTCATCGAGTTCGAGTTTAAATCTAGTGCGGGTAGGGTAAAAAATCTGGTGGAGCAGAGACGGGTTACGCATTAAAAATGGTTACTTTATATTGAAAAGCAATTTACTTGTAAAGGCAAGTTCTTGGTTATTTAGACGAGTGTTGTGATAAATTGAAAGCATTACATTCAGTTACATCTTTAATTCAGTCGGTATGAGTTCATCAATTTTATTGCATCGTTCAATTTACTGCCTTTTGTTAATTCCTTGCTGTACTAAATGTTGGTGAAAATTGGAATTTTGCTGGGATGTCACTCTTTATGAGTCTGGTGTTGTACGTGCAATTAGCCACAGAATTAATCTCTTGTCTTTGAATTGTATAGTCACAGGGGTGAAAGAAATTCATTTTCAAGAAGGAGTTTTCTTGTATGTTTCTGCAGCTGAACTGAACTGCAGTCTTTAGATGTTTGCGAACAAAATGGTAGTGCTTTTGAGTTGTGCAGATTCACTCTCTAGAAATGCTAGTATTTTCTCTTTTTTTTTTTTAAAAAGGTCTATTGCTCGTATTTTCCATCGCTGTTTTTAGTCTTCCACTAGTATTTTCGCTGAAAACGTTTTGTGCAATGCATTTAGGTTTCAGTTGTTAAGGTAGATCATCCAGTATGGTGTTTGTTCAAAAAATACAGCGATCTCTCGATCATAAAGACGTCCAAGTTCAGGTTTTCGTCAGAGAAGGCAAGAATATAGTTTAAATGCTTTCTTTTCATTCTTAAAATGGTATTGTCTGGTTGTAAGTCTGATTTTCTCATTGAAGATTTTTTTTTTTCTTTGGGCAGTTGAGAGTTGTATCGGCTCTAAAGCACGACCCTGGCCAAAGTGACAAATCTTTAGTTGTATCTAGTGCTGGTGAGAAGTAGGTCATGTTCTGTTTTCTCTGATTATTATATTAATTTATACTTGTTGCTCAATTCGTCTTCCTTTTTTTTTTGCTTATTTTAATAGATGGGGTTAATTTCTTATGGAGAATCTCACTTTCGTCTCTTTTCCTTTTGTTATAGTTTTGTTTCTCGTCTTTAAAATGGCAAATTAATAAATCCATGGCGACCTGGGATGCAGGAAACTTGTTAAGAAGTCTGGAAAAAAAGAACATCACTTATGGAAGAAAAGAGATTCATCTGGTTCGGGACAGAAGGCAATGAATCTTGTTCGCATTGTATGTATAATACGTGTATTGTTGAATGACCTGAGATTATTATACTTCAATAGTAATATCGAGGTAATGTGGCAGATCTCTGGAGTTCCAAACGAAAAAGTGGCTGTTTACAGTGCTCTAGATGAGTGGATAGCATGGGAGACTGAATTTCCATTAATAGCTGCAGCAAAGGCTTTAAAGATTTTGAGGAACAGGAATCAGTGGAAACGCATTATTCAAGTATGAAATTTGCAGAGTCCAATTTTTGGTGATGTTTCGAAGCGCTAATCACAATTTTTGGTAGAATTTTCATCATAAAACATGCAACATTTTGCACATTCAGGTGGGTAAGTGGATGCTGAGCAAAGGTCAAGGAGCAACAATGGCAACTTACGACTGCCTTTTGCTGGCATTTGACATGGACGGACGAGTGGATGAGGCCGAGACATTATGGGACATGATTTTGCATGCGCATGATCGGTCAATATCAAAGAGGCTGTTCTCTAGGATGATATCCTTGTGCGACCATCACAACACACCGGATAAAGTTATAGAGGTGATTTTTCTCGGTTAATGCTTGATACCCGCCTAATCTGTATGTATGACTGGCCTGGATTATGAAAACCCAGGTATTTGCTGACATGGAGGAGTTGGGAGTGAAGCCGGACCAAGATACTATTGGAAGGATTGGACGAGCTTTCGAGACGTTGGGTCAAGAGGACAAACGAAGATTGTTAATGATGAAATACGGAAGTAAATGGAAATACATTTACTTCAAGGGAGAAAGGGTAAAGGTGAAACTTGATTCTTAAGGTGAAATCATCTCTCTGTTCAGAAGGTGTATGCATTCTATGTTTGGTGTGTTTGTTCCTTACATAGTTTGAAGAAGTTTCAGCAAGCATGGTTCTTTGACAGGGAAGGCAAGGGAGATGATAACATAAAGTGACTCCTAAGAGATGAATATGTATCATACAGACCAATGATAAATGTCATGACCGAACCATTTTATTGTGATGCAATCATAGCATCAAACGTATTACATGTGCAAGTATTAAAAGCACCACATTGACATCGAAAAATTGGTCTATAAGTGACATATTCATCCCAAAGAGCATTAAAGGCATTATAGTATTGTGTGAGGGAAAGTGAACCCTGATACATAGAACTCTTGATTTTTCAAGCTGAAGACCCTAGGACCACCAGAAAGGCCATATCGAGATATGATTTCGTCCTAGCAACATAAAAGAAAAGTAAAGGTTGACGAATATCTTTTATAACAGAGTTCAACAACAAGGAGAACACCGTTATTAGCATGTACTCAAGCAAGTGACTCAGAAGGATTTTGTGTTGGATTAGGAAGGTAACAGAGATTTGATTTCGTCCTAGCAACATAAAAGAAAAGTAAAGGTTGACGAATATCTTTTATAACAGAGTTCAACAACAAGGAGAACACCGTTATTAGCATGTACTCAAGCAAGTGACTTAGATGGATTTTGTGTTGGATTAGGAAGGTAACATATTCATCCCAAAGAGCATTAAAGGCATTATAGTATTGTGCGAGGGAAAGTGAACCCTGATACATAGAACTCTTGATTTTTCAAGCTGGAGACCCTAGGACCACCAGAAAGGCCATATCGAGATTTGATTTCGTCCTAGCAACATAAAAGAAAAGTAAAGGTTGACGAATATCTTTTATAACAGAGTTCAACAACGAGGAGAACACCAAGTTATTAGCATGTACTGAAGCAAGTGACTCAGAAGGATTTTGTGTTGGATTAGGAACGTAAAGTGTATCGTCAATGAACCATAATTTATTACATACTTCGGGTGTATTAGAGTTTTCACCCTTTTATACTTTGACCATTATTGTGGTCAATTACAGTACAAAAGATAAAAGTGTGTTCTAAAAATGACAACTTATTCTTAAAAACTTAAAATACAACTCTAATTATATAACATAATAAAGATCCTTAGCGTTTGTTTGATATAGTCCATTACAGAAGGGTTATAAGGTTTTTTTATTGCCTGACAAGAGAGTTATTATTACAAGACATTTGATTTTTTCATACGAATTACGTTGCAATTATTTTATTTCAGATAACTTATTTGATTTTTCTTCTGTTTCTCCTAGTCAAGTGTACTATTAGAAACAAAGGAAGGAAAAAAAAAAAAAAACTAGAGAACCGAAATAGCCATAGGACTTTGGACAACATGAATTCCATCAGACCACGAGTACGATCCGAACAAATACTCGCCTTTCCAAACAGTCCCCAAAAATGCACTGTCTGTTTTTACGGTGATGGTGAAACTTTTCTTCTCACCGGCTCGGCCGAATTTGAGCACAGACGGCTTTATTTTTACCAAAATACCCTGTGGAGATTGGACTTTGGAAAAATAGACTCCCTTACCACCTCCCACATTCGTGACTGTCCTAACAACGGTAACCGTGCCTTTTAAGTCGGGTATGGCTAGTGATGGGTAGTTCAGGTTATAAGGAGGCGGTGGGTTGTCGGGGCACTTTGTAGAACTAAGATTGTGAATCCCAATGCTGCATATGAAGAGAAGATAGTCGTTGAATGAAGCATCGTAGACGAGTCCTGGGTCGACTGCTTTTGTCGGGTTGAAATAACCCGACCCAATCATGAATGGGGTGGCCGAGTCGTTGAAATTAGTAGTGATGGGGTTGCCCTCATTGTTTCTATGTCCCGCTGCAAAGCAATCGAAACTTAATCAACATAAAGACAATTTGTAACCTTGCTCTACGTGCTTTTGGATTTTACAATGCACTATTTTTAATGGTAAAAACTTAATATTCACAATCTTCACACTCGCCTACTTGTTGACCATACGATCATCTGCGATTAAATGGACACTTGTATGGTCAAGATGAAGGTGAGTGTGAAATTTATGAATGTTCATTATACAATGTAGGTTGCAAAACCCAAAAGCACGCATAATACAAGTTTAGAAAAAACATTTAAATATTGTTTTGTGCGCAATTAATGGATCGAAGTTTTGAGCACCGGTTGTCATGAGGGCCGATCGTAGAGCAGCGCTGCTCCAATTTGGGTGCACGGCCTTGAGAAGTGCCATTGCGCCGGTTACATGCGGACAAGACATTGAAGTGCCCGTCTTAAAGTCGTATTTGACGAGCCCATAATCACCCGAAGGGGATTTTCCTCTCCATGCTCCTAATATAGATTGCCCTGGGGCCGTGATATCGGGCTGCAGCGAAAAATTGAGCAAATTAACAACCATCCAATTATAACATAGTAATTTTCGGTAATATTGCAGTTTTACTTTGGTAACACTTTGTTATTGGACTTAAGATTTTGAGAAAAAGAAACTTTGCGAATAATTGATTAGATTACCTTAAGAATATAAGGTGCGACTGCATTGGGACCTCTGCTGGAGAAAATATTCACTATAGGTGCTGGTTTGGCGCCTATAACTGTCATAGCGGGTGCGATGTACGCCGTTGGTGTTTTTACGGAGTTGATGTATTTCAGGATAGTGAGGGCATTTGTGTAACCAACAGTTGAGGCTGGAAGAACGTAGTAGTCGGTATGGAAAATAAAAGAGTTCCCATCGGCGGTACTATTTCCTATGACGACACCAATTCCTCCGGCTCTTTTCACCTCAAGGACTCTATCTCCGTCGTATCCGGTTCCTGTGAAACACAGTACGATTTTTCCCTTTACCTTTTGGGGAGAAAGGGAACCTGGAAGACATAGCCTGCAGAAAAAAAACTTGAGGAAATACAACTAAGTAACAGTGGTTATGCAAAAATATATTATTGAACTTGATGAGTGTGATTACAATGCTTCTACTTTATGTGGACTAACATAAAAACAGAAATTATTGTGTGCCACGTCTAACAATTAGGCGGTCGACTTGCCATATTTTATGAAACAAAAATAAATATTTATATTTATTAAATATTATATTTTTATTTGTGTGTTGGTTTTAGTGTATGACGTTTTTCTAATAAAACATGAGAAAGAGGCTTAACCTAGATTCGTTTTTCGGCACACCACAGTTGATTACTTGATCCGCAGAAACGAGTCGGTACAACTTTTTCTCTAATTTATATGTAGTCATTGACTGGCCCTGCAAAGCCAACGAAATAAAATAAGAATACCTCAATTTGACGTGAGACAACATAGTTGACCAATTTCTAACTCATAGAAATAGTTGAATAATTTAAAAAAAATATATCATTATACCAGATTAGTTTTAAAATTTGTCATGTAATTGAATTGTTTGACGACGAAATCAAATAAGCATAATTTGACTCGTTAAGATTACCGGGATAGTCAACCCGCTCCCGAGCACAATGTCCGACGAAAACTTCCGGTCCATCATGCTGGACCCCACCGTGATCAACCACGGGGCCGAGTTAACCGTGGTGGCCGGCGTAGGGCCGTTGTTTCCTGCGGAAGCTGCTACGACAATGTTCGCCTTGGCCGCATAGAGGGCGACGATTGAGACGTCTTCTTCATTGAGTTGTATGGGGTCTTCGAGGGATCCGTACGACATGCTTAGGATGTGGACCCCATCACTGATGGCGTCGTCGACGGCGGCGAGGCTGTCTGCCAGCACGGCCCCGGCATCTTCTTCATTGATCTTCCATAACACCTTGTAGATAGAGAGTCGGGCAAGCGGGGCCCCACCCGTGGCAGTGCCCTGGGCCAACCCATTGGGCGACGAGACGTTGTCGACCCGGCGCCCGGCGGCTATGGACGCTGTGTGGGTCCCGTGTCCTCCCATGTCGCGGGCCGAACGATAATTCAAAGTTCGATTTAGCGGCCCGTGTTTTGCTTCGAAGCCCTTGAGGTAGTATCGGGCACCGATGATTTTCCTAAGTGATAACACAAGTTGATTTGATTTAGAGTATAAAATTTTGTATAGATATGTTGAGAAATAACATAAGTGAGACTATTTTTTAGAGGAATAGTAGTAGTTTGACATAATTAGTTGACATAAATAATGAAAAAAAAAAAAAATGATGTTTATGTTAAATGATTGTTGATTTTAACAAGAGCAATATACATTTTTTCACCCCGGTAACTCACCCAAAATTGAGTTATGCTTTCTTTAACATACCACACATCACACAATGATCGCACAATCGGTTGCAGCTTCTGGGAAAAAACATACTGTGGGCGTGATTGTTTATGAATTCTACAGTAAATATCTAACTTTCAATTATTTTCTTATACTTTTACATCAAATCAATTCTAATTATTTTAATTTAAATATTATTTTAATATATCTACTAACAACTAACCACACTACTTTTTTTTCAAACTTAACTATAGTTTAAAAAAACTAATTTTTTACTAGTTGAATTCATATCCAATCCCCCCTATAATTTTTTAATTGGCGGAGTGAAAAGCTGATTACACTTATATTTGAAGATGTAAATGGACATTTTTCACTAAAAACAATGTGATGTATAAAGTAATAGGATCGTGAGACACGTGTTATTATCTTAAGCTTTATATTATTCTTTATTAGAGCATTATTTGTTTTTTTTTTTTTCAAAATGATAGATCATTAATAAACACACATAATTACAACCGGCTAACCAGTCGAATACATGAGGCCTACACAAGTTAGTCTAAATACCACATATAACAACACAAAGAGCATTAAGGATTTACTTGTTACAAGTTGAAGAGTCGAAAGCATCCCCAGGTTGACAAACTCCTTTCCAGGATTTTGGTACGACGTCCATCCCATCATCACTGAAGCTCTGTGACTCCGGCCAGATGCCTAATCAAACCATAA